GGGGGGGGGGGGGGGGGGGGGGGGGGCAACGGTGGCAGGGACAACCCATCCCGGCGCATTTCATTATCTATTGAGTTGAACATGTCTTCCCCCGGCTGTTGTATGATGGTATGATACGAGTTATTGTCGAGGATAAGCGCACGTTGGTTGCTTTTTTCGCGAATGGGTTTGTTTGGCGGCCTCTGGCGCTTTCAAACTGAGGGTAAATTGGTTGTTCCTGTATTGTTGCCGCCGTGGACATGTTCGATCGTTGAGAGCAGGAGGGGGGAGGCAGGGAGTGCGCGCGCGGGGGGGGGTGCCGTGGTTGCGAATTGGCGTGTTGAAACGGTGTACGATGGGTTTAATGGTGGCGTTCTTTGTTGTTGCCTTCTTGTTCTCCGGTATCGGTGTCTCGCGTTTCTCTGTATAGCCAAGTCAACTTCCCTTCTCGCGGTGCTTTTGAGGATGTCTTGTCTCTCCTTTGTGTACTGTTCGGGTATTGTTTCGATCGCGATTATTTTTGTTCCTGAAGTTTGGCGGGGAACCGGGGAGGTGTTGTCCGACGGTCGATCAAGAGGGAACGGTTGACCGAGAAAGAAGCTGATAGAACGTTTCGACGCTTTTGAGCGGTTTGTGTGGTGTTTGCGCACACGGAAAGCGCGCGATAGATCGGGACCGCGTCTCTTTGCCCCCGAGAGAGAACCTCGAAGGGATGGATACGAGAACGTGATTTAATGAAGTGTTGCTCGTTGCCCACAGCTTCTAAGCAATGTCAGATCTGAAGAGCTGCTTACCTTGTGTATGGACGTATGCTGCTGGCTGGCTGGAGTCCCAGGAGAACCCGACCTGCTATATCCTTGCTAATATAGCGTCTTACTCTGCCTTCCAAAAAGCACTCTTTACACTAAAAATATAAGTGCGTTCGTCACGAGCAAACTGAATGAAAAAAAAAAACAGTTCCATCCCGAATAGAGGCATCACTTGAAGTCAAGAACGATCCACGCTACATTCACCACGTCCCGGTCTAGTCGTGGCATACATCTCCCCGCCGCAGTCAACGAGACCTTGAGCGGACCTATCCCACCTTCGGTATCCTGTTGGCTTCGACTACAGCTCGGCGAAGCACGGCGCATCCACCGTAAGTCAAACACAAGAGACATTTCCGAAGAAAGTCTCGAGAAGAATGAGCTTTTCGAAGAGGGCTGACCCGCGCGGCATCTATCTCTTTGGGGGTAATCTCTAACTGCACCCGCCGCCACAATACAGTCCCCACAAACGGCTGAAGCACCTACGGCTGCAGCAGCACAACCACAGCACTGGCAACGGTGGGCGAACATAAACGACAGAGGCCATCGACTGCAGCGACAAGTAATTCCTGTCTGCCTCACACTCAGCTGCGTTTTTGCAAAAATGATTACGCATCCCATCGACAGAGGGCACTTTTTAGAGAACAAGTGGGGACCCGCCGCCCTCCATCGCTGTTATTGGTCAAACTCGCGCCCGTCACGTCCGTTCCAACCGCACGAATCGACGCAGTGCGATCGAGGTAGTGTGAAAGACAACACCATCTGTCCAAAAAATACTCATATTTCTATACAACCAACAAGCAAAGGGAAGACTCCCCCCCCCCGCCCCCCCCCCCTAGAAACAACGTGCTTGCGCTGATCCCCTTTGCCCCGCCGCCGCAAAAAATGTAGTAAGACACATAAAATACGCCTCGCCTCTGCCCGAGGAGCAAGAGTCGATGATTCCCAACCCTCCGTGGACGGACTCGGCGCTGTGCCAACCACTCTCTTGAGACGAGGCTTGGCTCGTCCTGTCTCATCTTGCACCTAAAAGAATTAGGTTCGGCCGCCTCCCCGGCTGCCAAGCTCAAAAAAGGGCGATCGCGCTTCCTTCCGCTTCCACAACAGGCCAACCCATGCAAGCAGCCTGCTGCAGTATTACTGCTCCTGCAACGTTACCGCCGCCGCATTGTTGCTACTGCTGCTGCTGCGTTTCCTAAACCTGGCAAAGAAGAGGTGCCCAGCATCTCACAGCCACCCTCCAAAAATCATTGAGGGCTGACATCTGCGACGCCGCTGCTGTCAGCTCTTGTCGCGCCTTTGGTGCTGCTGCCGCTGCCCACGCTTGGTCCCGCTTCAGGTCCCGGCCGCCACCGCGGGGACACCGTGTTCCTGGACCGAACAAACGAACCTGCGTGGATGAAGCGTGCGAGGCGGCCGGACACAAAAAAGCACAAGGGGCTCAGTGTGTGTGTGGGGGGGGGGGGGGGGGGG